AACTATCCATTTCTTAAAAGCTATCAGTTCAAGTTCAAGGCAACTCTTATCTGGAGCTGATTTTGGTCTACCAAATCTTTCATAATTAAAAAGCAAGATCCCAGCATGCTCAAACACAGGGACTAGTCTCCAACAGAGCACATCAGATTAGTAGAGAGATTTATTGAACGAGGTAAGCCACCTCACTAGAAGTCCACCATTCTGCGAAGGTGAACACTTCCTTAAGCCCAGCTCTCTGTATTTATGAACTTCAGCTTGAGTCATTTAAAGTTCTTCCAAGACAGCCTCCCCTCCCCCAGAGTGGGTTGGCTGGATACATCTGTAAAGCTCTCTCCTAGATTTTTATCCCTTGAGGTTGGCAAGGCAGTTTTCTTACTCTACAGGCCTTGCTGTTGTGCAACCGGTAAATGCACCGGATTGGTTGTAGTACAATTCCAGGGCCCTGCCCACAAAAATGAGGCTAGCAATCTGGTAGACTGCAGGGGCTGCCAGCAAAATCCCTACCCTCTAGTGAAAGGCCACTCATAACCAAAAGGCAAAGTCCCGAGGTTTAAAAGGAATCCCCTTTCCTTTCGATAGGCCCCTCAAAATCTTTTTCCAGTCTCCTCCCTCTGGAGAACAGCCCCGTTAGGGGACAGACAACCTTTGAGCTCCCTTTTCTCATGACCGATTCAACAAGGTTCACCTCTACCCTAGTGTTACTCGTAAACAGCTGCTAGTCTACTTTGAAAAGCAACGCTGAGAAACCTTCTTCTACACCGCCTCTCTCTATAAACCCCTTCCCCAAGATCAAGCAACCTCACCTAACCAGGAGTCCTCTGACAACGTCCCATTCAATCCCCCTCCAAAGGCGTCGCTGCCAAAAGAAACCCTATTAAGACTGCCAGCTCTCTACCTTCCCCACCTACTTTCTCTTGGCTATTACTTGAGCATTATTTTATCACTCTCTCCTCTTGGCCGAGAGACTCCCCCTACCCCTCCCGTGGGGCCTCGTCCAGCAAAGTAAACAATGCTGTCAAAGCAGGATAACGCCAGGCAAGGCTTCCAGGCTCCGCATTCCAGTCTCCTCCTGGCGTTCTAAAAGCGGCAAAACAAGCCACTGCAAGGTTCTGGGACCGAAATCCTCCCCCAACTTGCTTTCTAAAAAGGTCCGAGAGTCAGTCAGCTCCCAAATCAAGCATTAACATGCACGATCTGCAAGAGTTAGTGGTAAAGCAGAGCGTAATTCCAGGTCAAGGATAGCCAAGGGAAGCAGGAGGAGACGGGTGAGAAAAGTGGGTCGTGTGCGTGAACGGGCCACGAAGCGAGAACAAGGGCTTTTTGTCGCGACGAGAGCCACGTTTCTAGTGGGGCTCGCGCGGACTCGAGGGGCGAGCGACAGAGATCGCTAATGAAGGGTCCGGAAAGCGCGGGCGCGGCCCGAGGACAGCGTCCCTGGGGCTGTGGAGCAGCCAGGAGGTGCGGAGGGACGCGCCAAGGAGATACGAAGACGGTGGCGGGAGACCCGGACGCGGCGGAGGGTTGGCCGGCGCTTACCTCCCGGTGTGGTGGAGAAGAGCGTCCCCCCGGGCGTGGTGCAATAGTCATGAGGTAGCTGCGCGGCGTCGCTGATGGGCACGGTGCGGGTGGGGATGGCGCGGCTCTGGCTGGGCTGGTGGCCGCTGCCGGCGGACGAGGACATGGCTCTGGGCGCGGGCTCTCGGCTTTGTCCGGCAGGCAGGCGGCGGCGGCGGTGGCGGCGGCGGCGGGGCCCGGGCTGCTCCGGCTCCTCAGGCGGGCGGAAGGGAGCGCTCCGCTCGCTCCTCGCTCGCTTCCTCTCGCTCCCTTATCCTGCTCCGCTCCCGCCGCCGCCCTCTCAGCCGCCGCCGCCGCCGCCGCCCGATCCTCCGGCCTCCGCCAGCAGCCTCAGCAGCAGCAGCAGGAGCAGCGGCAGCAGCGGCGACAACGAAGACCGGAAGCGGGTGAAGGCGGGAGCCAGAGGGAATTTGAGGAAGCTGGCCGCCCGGAGGTGACGTCTGGGGGGCGGGGCGAATAGGAGGGGGCGGGTCCAACTGAGGGGTGGGGCTTAGCCTCTGACGGTAGGAGTTGAACCCAAGGGAACCAGCCCAAGGCGTTTGTCAGCTGGGAGTTGATAGACTAGGAAAACTTTCTCGTTGCTTGTAGTTGTTGTCCGTCAGTACTACTTCACTTGAGACGACTTCAGCTTTTTCCCATTCCTATCCATTAAAAGTGTAATTTTACTTTTAATTGTTTTGTTGTTGTTGTAGTTGTCATCGTTGATCAGCTGGCCTGGGCTGGGCTCGAACCCACCAGCTTACTTTTAATTGTTTTGTTGTTGTTGTTGTAGTTGTCATTGTTGATCAGCTGGCCCGGGCTGTGCTCAAACCCGCCAGCATCGGAACATGTGGCCAGGGCAGTAACTGTAGGAGCCAAACTAATTAACTCAAGTCACAAGTCAAACTACCTCCTTTTGCTGTTTATTCAGAACAATAGGCCGCATACCAAGGACCTTATCATACCTAGGTGTTACAGCCCACATCCTGACCCCCCTCCCCTTTGTCCCACTAGCCCCCTTGTGCACTCAGCCCACATCCTGACCCCCTCCCCTTTTTGCACTCGCCCCACTTGCGACCCCTCCCCTTATTGCACTCCTCACTCTACTCTGCACTCACCCCACTTGCGACCCCCTCCCCTTTTTGCACTCTTCACTCTACTCTGCACTTGACCCACTTGCGACCTTTATCCCTTCCTTCTCATTTGCTCACCAGAGGAAAAGAAGACTCATCCCTGAACCAATCAACCCTAAACACGACCACCCTGTACCTGTCAGTTTAGCACAGACATGGTTTACCTACCAATAAAGGGGT